TGAAAGAAATAGACTTACAAGTCTAGGAAGTACAGGGAACCCCAAACAAGAGGAATCCAAAGAGGACCACACCAAGACACATCATAATTAAAATGCCAAGGGCAAAAGACAAAGAGAGAATCTTAAAAGCAGCAAGAGAAAAACAGAAGGGAGTACCCATATGACTGCCAGCTGGTTTCTCAACAGAAATGATGCAGGCCAGAAGGGAGTGGCAAGAAATATTCAAAGTGATGAATAGCAAGAACCTACAACCAAGAATACTCAACCCAGCAAAGCTATCATTTAGAATTGAAGGTCAGATAAATAGCTTCACAGATAAGAAAAAGCTAAAGGAGTTCATCAACACCAAACCAGTATTATATGAAATGCTGAAGGGTATTCTTTAAGAAGAGGAAGAAGAAAAAGGTAAAGATAAAAAATATGAACAACAAATACATATCTATCAGCAAGTGAATCTAAAAATCATATGAATAAAAAATCTGATGAACAGAATAAACTGGTGAATGGAATAGAATCAGGGGCATGGAAATGGAACAGACTGACGATTCTCAGAGGGAAGGGAATGTGGGGGGTGCGGGAAGAGATTAGACAAAGATCTTATATGCATGTATACATTACCTATGGACACAGACCATAGGGTGGCGAGGGCGTGGGGTAGGGTGGGAACCAGGTGGAGGGGGGCTATGGGAGGAAAAAAGAGGGGCATCTGTAATAATCTCAACAATAAAGATTAATTTTTAAAAAAAGATTAAGTTAGTTGTTAGGACTTGTGTATCATCATCTCAAGGTTTCCAGTAATTACTTGTATTAAATTCTTTCACACAACCTTCTTAAATCCAATGTTCTCATTTAAGAAACAAATGTGCACCATTCATTAATTTATGGTTCTCAAACTCTGACTCCTGTAGGCACCTAAAATATATATGCCTCCCACCCCTCCTGAAATGAAACCACTATTGCCATAACATTCTTACCTAAATCTTAAAATCTTTCTCACAAATTACCCTGAGGACATTGAATTCAATTTTTTATCAGTGATCACATGTCTTCATGTAGATTAGATAATGGTTATTTTATTACTTATATTCTCATATTCATTCAATTCATCCATGAAGGGTCAACTATCTGCATAATAATTTGTGGGGAAGATTTTGAAATGTATAAAATTCTTTGCATGTATATAGGTTACAATATACTATTTAAGAAAAATCATTGTAGAATAAACGTAACTTTCTATTGGAAGGTATATTAAGCCAGTAGGAAAAGTAAACCTATCTCTCTGTTGTCAAATATGCAATTACGAATATATATGAAATGAACACATTGTTTGCAGGTAGTAACAGGTGGCTCTACTACTTACAGTCAACGTAAAACATATAAATACGTTTCCCGCATACAATGTGTTAAGTGCTACAAAATCCCTTGAATATGCATATTTGCTATCAAAATAACTGAGAAAATTTTTACGCGATACAGGACAAATTGAAAGCAGTTTTCTTGAATTATTTAAAACTAACTGAACAGAAGAGTGGGCAGAGGTTATAAAGACCATTTTCAAAATCAAATCAAAGGAACATTGTTTCCAGAAAAAATACTTTGCTTTGATAGTAGATATTTGTTTATAGTATATTGAATACATACTTCAGATGATAATGAAAGCAAACCTCTCCCCCATCAAGATGATAGAATAGTCTATATATCTTCCCTAATTAGATCTGTGGAAGTTCACAAAGAGAATATACGCAAAAGAAAGTATAAAGGAAATAACAAAAAGCCATGCTTGAAACTATGGATATCCTATATAATAAAGAGGTAATATTCAAATTGACCATCACGCCATCACACAAGATGGCCATCACAAGATGGCTGGCAGGGGAGGGCAGTTGGGGGAAATCAGGCCTGCAGGGGAGGGTAGTTGGGGGTGACCAAGCCAGCAGGGGAGCAGTTAGGCGTCGATCAGGCTGGCAGGGGAGTGGTTAGGGGGTGATCAGGCTGGCAGGCAGAAGCGGTTAGGGGCAATCTGGCAGGCAGGCAGGTGAGCGGTTGGGAGCCAGCAGTCCCGGATTGTGAGAGGAATGTGTCTCTTGGAGAGCAAGACATGATCCCCACAGGGATCGGGCCTAAACCGGCAGTCAGACATCCCCTGAGGGGTCCCAGGTTGGAGAGGGTGCTGGATGGGCTGAGGGACACCACCCCCCATGCACAAATTTTGTGCACCAGGCCTCTAGTTTTATTATATTCTTCAAAAAAATATTAAATTAATTATTAATTATCATCAATATTTGCAGAAAATTAGACATATAATCAATAAAATGTACATAGGAGAACATTCACCTAAAATTGCCTGCAAAGTTTTATATTATTGAGATCATAACTCTGGGTCATTACTTTCTTCACAAAAAGTTAGCTTTCAATGAAATTGAGCAGAGAAAATATGTATGCCTTGTGGAGGGGAGGGGGATATATTTCACTTTTACAGGTATGGAAATTGAATCTGTTTTATTCACAATCTATTGTTTATAGCTGTTGTATAAATTTTAAAAGTTCAAGAAATCACTTTCGAGATGAAATAATAAACATTCTTCTACTGATCCCTTAATATGTCCCCAAAGAAATTGCAGTCCACATTTTCTACTATCATTTACATATATAATTTTTTGATATGTGAAAACAGAATCTTTACCAGAAATAAATATTGCTTTACTTTCTAAAGAGTGAGTAGCGTTTGGCTTTTCGGGGAACTGTAATATAAGAGGAACAGATTTTGCCTACAGATATACAAGGCAAAATAAATAGTTGTTCAATGCTTTCAAATGTAAAGGCAGGAGAACAAAACTTTGGAGAGCAAGACACTTTCCCAGAGATCAACAAGGAGTTCATTTATGAAAGAAGAAAGCATTTCAGGTTAAATGAATGATGCATAAAGCATATTTCCCTCTAAACATGGTATTATGTGTTTTGTCTGGGAGTGTGTATACCGAGCATGTCAAACTCAAAGGCTAACAGAGGCCAAATAAATGAGACATGCAGCCTGCAGGCTGTCAGTTTGACATGCTTGGATTGAATGACCAGGTTGGAATGGAAGGCAGAAGGCTGGAGTCACAGGGAGGGGAACAAAGGCCAGTATCGCATAGCTGATGAGCATAGGTCTGAAACAGGGAAAATAAGTGCAATATGAAAAAAAAGTTTTAAATGTTTTAAACAGACTTTCTCTAAGCTCACTAATTCAGTTCTTAACGCTCTAATATGTACCAACATATTCCTGAAAATAAAATGAAGGTTTAAATGAAGAAGAGAAAGGTAGAATTTATATTATGGATATTTCACTACTATTGGTGAAAAAAATGGGTGTTCTTTTCCCCCATAAATTCTATCTTTATGGGGAAGATAAATAGATAAATAACTGAGTAAGTAAATGTATGAACACATAAATAAATCAAGAACAAATTCTAATATATATTTAAAATTACCCTATTATCTCTAGTTATTTCTCAAAAATAGAAAGCACAGCCACATAACTTGACTCCCAGAATTACAAATGCCTAAATGATTTCCTGCTCAAGTGGCGGTAAATACTATATTTTACTCACTCTCTTGCATATATGTACAGGTTTAGGTTAGATGTAATGGCTGTGGCAAAGTCTTCAGCCAGAGAACGCACCTCACCGAGCATCAGAGGATCCTCAGGGGAGAGGAGGCCTATCAGTGTGGTGAGTTCAGGAAGGTGGTCCACAACAGCTCCAGACTCATCCATCAACAGAGGCCACACATGCAGCGAATGCAAAAAGGCCTTCAGCCAGGGTGCTTACCTCACCCGGGACCGGCGATCCACACCTGGGAGAAGGAAGCCCTCTACACGTTCAGGGTGTGGGGAGGCGCCTGGTTCAGGGTGTGGGGAGGCGTCTGGTTCAGGGTGTGGGGAGGCGGCTGGTTCAGGGTGTGGGGAGGCGTCTGGTTCAGGGTGTGGAGAGGCGTCCGGTTCAGGGTGCGGGAAGGCGTCAGGCACAGCTCTGAGTGCCCAGCAGCAGAGGATCCACCTCCCTCTGGGAAGACTTCTCCATGCGACGCTAGAGGCCCCTGAGTTCTACGTGCACATCCCACAACCCACCCATCCCCTTATTTATTGGTCACACAGGGTTGTCACAGGTGAAAGGCGTTTCTGTCTAACTTTCGGGCATGCGTCGATTGTCCAGTCCCTTCCCTCAGGAATCTGCGGGGAACAGACCTGGAGAGTGTTAAACTGCAGCTTTCTGACACAAATGGCATGCCCATATTATTTGGCCTTCCCTTTGCTTCCTTCTTAATTAATAACCATATTTGCCCTTTAAGTCTGGCTTATTTCACTTAGCATAACAAATGTCCTTAAGGTTCATTTAAAAAAGTAAAGTATTTATTCATTTAGCAATTACCATTAAAAATAAAGAATACAGCCTGATTGGTGTGGCTCAGTGGTTGAGCATCAACCTATGACCCAGGAAGTCCTGGTTCAATTCCTCGTCAGGCCACATGCCTGGGGTTGTGAAATCTATTGCTAGTGGGGGGCATGTAGGAGGCAGCCCATCAATTATTCTCTCATCATTGATGTTTCTATCTCTCTCCCTCCCTCTATGAAATCAATAAAAATATTTAAAGAATAACCAATACAAAGTTTTTGGCTCATGGATATCTTAGCTTAAACCAAATCCATGTGATAGACTAGTATCCCATCACACAGTCCATTTTTTCTTAAGTTACAGTGATTTGCTACATGTCATTTCGCTATGATACATTAATTTAGATCCTTTATCTTTCATTTCCATGGCTGCCACCTCTCAGATCTTTACTGAGAGTTTGGCCAAGCTCTGCTTCCCACTTAAACCTGCCTTCATTTCCCTGTCCCACAAACACCAACTCCCATCTCCACAGAAAAGCTTTCAAATAATTACCTTTCAAACCATATTTTTCCATATCAAGAACTGTTCAATAATCTAGTTCCTGTATCCACAAATATAAAATATTTAGTTAGATTTTTTATATTCTTTTAGTACGTAGTTCGTCCAAACTTATTTCTCAAAATTTTCAGCATAGATATTCCATTCCAACCAAGCTCATGTTATTGTTTCGTACACATCCATAGCCATTTCATTGGCATTTGTGCCTTTGCTCAGTTTTCCCCCTAAAATTATGTCGCCCCAATTCTTTGGAATGTCTGTCTCCATCCTCTGTACATAAGCAAATAGTAATTATTATTGAAGGCCTAAATCAAGTTTCATTACATAAACTTGTAATGTAATATTTCCTACAATTCTGGAGACCAATTGCATACTGAATTCCATAAAGTTCAGTATGTCATTGTTTTCTGCTTTGAGAAGTATACAACACCAAAGGAAATTCTATTATATTTGAAGTACAGACACATAAAGACTCATATAAAATATGTACATATTATTTTTATGAATGATTTATTCACACAAATTCATGAATGTACTTATAAAGATAAATTTGAATAGTCATAAATGAAGTCAAGGTCTACTCTCTACTTGCCATTCTCACATCACTCTAGTCCCTGTACTCCTTTTTCACCTAACTCATGTCTCAAATCTTCATGGTACCAGCTCTCCTGCATTTTACCTTTTTTCCAACACTGTGCATGTTATTGTTTTTCTTTTAAATAAAAATAAATTTTCTCTTAGAGGCAAGGAAAAGCAACAATGTTTTAATTTCTTAAAAAGTGCAATGTTGGTATTTTTTATCTTTAGATCTCACAAAAAAATTGAAATTGCTATATTATGACAGGTATAATGTGTAGAAACTACATTTCTCAGAATACACTGCATTTCTTATAATTGTCCCCTCCCTTTATAATAGGAATAGCTCAAGTGTAGCTTGTATACATTTAGTGAATATGTACTTTACATGAGTGAGAGAATATAGAAAATCACAAAACTGGAAAGAGTATGGAGAATAGAACCTAGGAAAAGCATATCTTGAATATTCTAGACTAATAAACAGTTTTCAGTATAAGTGTCTATCTTTTGTTTCTTAATTACCCAAGAAATATAAAATAAATTTTACACAAGTGAAATGGATTCCCAATTTGGATCAGACTGGCAAATATTGAAGTTTAGTTGTCATTGTCTCCCAGAATTCATATCTAATTTTCTCTTTGTTTTTGTCTTTGGGCTGGTACTGATTATTTTCTACTCTTTGCATATCACTCTATTTTTGAATGACTACTCTACAGTCGAAACCAGTAATTCAAGAGGCACTGTAAGAGCTGCTTTTAGCTTTCAGACGGACACTTCCCTCTCTGGGAGTTGCCACAAGTCATTCTCGTCACTTCTCACTATTTTATAAAAGGTCTTTCTGCTATGCCATTCACCACCCAAAGTCTAAGTTTACAATACGTTAATTTTTAAATATATTTTTATTGATTTCAGAGAGGAAGGGAAAAGAAAGAGATAGAAACATAAATGATCAGAGAGAATCATTGATCAGTGGCCTCCTGCACACCCCCTACTAGGGATCTAACCTGAAACTCCAGCATGTTCCCTGACTGGGAATTGAACCATGACCTCCTGGTTCATAGATCAATGCTCAACCACTGAGCCACACTGGCTGGGTTGCAACACATTATTTTTTTATGCTATCCTTTGATGCCTATTGTAAAGCCTCTGAATGATTGACAGATGCCAGCTAGGCAAGTTTCCATGTGGTAAATCCTTAAAAATTTTTTAGAAAACAGAAAAAACAAACAAACAAAAAACTGTTAAAATTTTGTTGTCTTCTTTAATCTCCCTTGACATAAAAGAACACAAACCTATCCATTAAACTACTGCATAAAGTGTTATTATTAGGCAGCAAGTTATTTATTTTTTGACTAAACATTTTACTTTCTTGCAAAATAGGAGAAAACCCTAAATCAAAAAGCTTTTATAGAGAGTATGGCAATCAATTGACTAATTTCCAACTATTTACTAAGAATAAATTGGTGAAGAGTGATAACACTAGGTTTCTTAAACATCCAAATAATGACCAAACTAAAAAGTGTGAGATGACAAGTTAGGTTCTCATAATTTTTCTGTATTCAGCTTAATAAAGAAGAAAAATGTATTCTCTGGCAATGGTATCTATTAGAAATGAAAAATATAAATTGATTTTATGAGAAGTATAGAAAACTTGTCTATTTTAATATTATTTTACTTTCTTAAAAAGTGCAACATTGATATTTTTTATCTTTAGATCCCAAAACAAATTTGGAAGTGATACATTATCACAGGTGTAATGGGTAGAAACTATATTTCTAACCATTTAGTAGATTTTTATCTATGAAATTCCTACCAATATGAAGGGCTGTGAGAAATTTAATCTTCAGATCCTGTCAGCTAGACAAACTGACAATACAGCCTTGCATTTTTGACTCCAGTTGCTCCTCATGGAGGAAGGAATAGGGAAGAGCCTGGAGTAAGACATATATTTAGTGAAGTTAATTTATCCAGCAACAAAAATGTATGGATAGAATATGGCATTTGTTGAATGTATAAATTAATTTTTAATTAACTATTATCTATGTCTTGTATAGATTATTTTTCATTAATCTATTTTTTTCATGCTAAAAATCAAAATCTCTATAAAGCAGAACTCAAAATGTTTCTACTATGCTAAATTTTTTCATGAATTACATTTTCTGAGAAAATGAGGTGCTTGGATACCAGGGTACTGTAATAGCATTACTTGTGATTTCTGGATGTAGTTTGTGTAATAAGATTGATAAATATATGTGTAAGTTTGAATGTTGTGGTATATTATTTATTTATAATATTGCATTGATTTTCTAAAGAATTTAAGAAATGTGGCATAAAAACATAGAGATAATAAAACAATTTAACCTATTTTTAGAAATTACATATAACAAGAATTAAGCCACAATACAGAGAGGAGGAAATAATATGCGTATGTGTTTGTATGTGTGTGTGTGTGTGTGTGTGTGTGTGTATGTGTATACCATACACATAAATCTATATGAAAATACTCATAACTAAAATTTTCTATCCTATCAAGGGAGAGAATTTTT